TCCCATTCTGTCCAGGACCTTCTATTGTGACCCCGATCAGAGCCATCAATAGTTGTAGCTGGGCACCATCTAATTCTTCTGCTCTCAGGCTAGTGGAGACTGTGATTCTCACAGTCTATTAGTCCTTTGGACTAATTGTTTCCTTTAGTCTTTGATTTTGTTCACTCTTCTTTGTTTTGGATGGGGACATCAATAGCTATATCTTAGATGGCTGTTTGTGAGTTTTTAAGACCCCAGTCACTACTCACCAAAGCAGGATGTAGAAGATCGTCTTTGTGGACTATGTTATGTCAATTGACCTAGATGTCAATTAAATTCTCTGTTGAGCTGGGCTAGGCCACATGATAGGTAAAACTATCATATAACACATAACGTTGGTTAGGGGAGTCTCTCTGGTCTTTTTTGCCTATGTCCATACTCAAACTTTAGCCCTATATATTTACCAATTTTATGGTGGGTAAGATTAATCACAAGAAAATCCTGCAAATTGGAATGAGAGGACAGAGAAAGTGTTTCTCAAAAACTTAGAGCCAAACCTGGTCTAAACTATCCACCTAACATCTTCTCTAGGAGGAGCTGTTCCTTAGCAGAATCTATTGTTGTACACTAATTATAACGAAAAGGAGATATTCTGAGGAATTTAACCCTTCCCTGTTTTATCCCCTTGAAGGCAATGGGTTTGGGTCTTTTTGGTTTGTTACATACCCAAAGCTCTGTATTTTCTCATCATAGTCTATTTCACGTCATTAACATTAATCCATTATTACTAGCACTTCTCTCTATGGAGTGGAGTGGGTAAAAACATTGTTGGGCAGTTTTTTTCTGAGGCACTTTTGGGTGGACTTCAACATCCACCTTTTTGTTTAGCAGCCAGATAGTTAATCATTTATACCACAAACAATTTCATAGAAATTAGATCTTTTAGGATATAAAAATATTTCACTTTGCATTCTCTCTTCCACACCTTATGAATAGTAGTGAGACACTGTCTGGTATATTACTGGAAAACTTTATGAATAACCCTGAAACATTGTCTAATACAGTGCCTGAGGATGAGCCTCTCAGGTTGGAAGGTACTCAAAATATTAGGGAAGAGCTGCCTCCTCAAAGTAGAATCTACTTTAATGACATGGATAGAGTAAAGCTTTTGGGATCTCCATTTGCTGATAGGGCACTAATCAAAATGGGAAGAAACAGCTGCAAACATTCATTAATAATTGGAACATGGAATGTACAAAGTATGAACCTAGGAAAATTGGATGTTGTTGAAAATGAAATGCAACACATAAAAATATACATCCTAGGCATTAGTGAGCTGATGGACTGGTATTGGCCATTTTGAAGCAGACACTCATATGATCTACTATATCAGGAATGACAAATTGAAGAGGAATGACATCACATTCATCTTCAAAAAGAATGCTTCAAGATCTATCCTGAAGCACATTGCTTTAAGTGATAGGATAATATATATACATTCACAAGGAAGACCAGTTAATACCATTATTCGGATTTATGCATCAACCAGTAAAGACAAAAATGAAGAAACTGAAGAAATTTACCAACTTCTCCATTCTGAACTTAACCAAACATGCAATCAAGATGTACTGATAATTACTGGCAATTGGAAAGGAAAAGCTGGAAACAAGAATCATTGGTAGTTGAAAAATATGGCCTTGGTGATAGAAATGACTCCAGAGATTGCATGATAGAATTTTGCAAGACCAATACTTATTCATTGCAAATATCAATATATGTCAACCTCGCCTGATGGAATACACAGAAATCAGATAGACTACATTTGTGGGAAGAGGTGATGGTGAAGCTCAGTATCTTCAGTCAAAACAAGGCCAGGAGCTGACTGTGGAACAGACCATCAATTGCTCACATTCAAGTTCGAGTTGAAGCTGAAGAAAATTAAAACAAGCCCATGAGAACCAAAAATAACCTTGATTATGTCCTACCTGAATTTAGAGACCATCTGAAGAATAGATTTGATGCATTGAACACCAGTGACCAAAGACCAGATAAGTTGTGGGATGACATAAAGAACATCATACATGAAGAAAGCAAAAGGTCATTGAAAAGGGAAAAAAGAAAAGACCAAAATGGATATCAGAAGAGACTCTGAAACTTGCTCTTGAATGAAGGGTAGCTAAAGTGAAAGAAAGAAATGATGAAATAAAAGAGGTAAACAGAAGATTTCAAAGGACAGCTCAAGAAGACAAAGTAAAGTATTATAATGATTGTGCAAAGACCTGGAGTTAGAAAACTAAAAGCGAAGAATACACTCAGCATTTCTCAAGCTGAAAGAACTGAATAAAAAATTCAAGCCTCGAGTTGCAATACTAAAGGATTCTATGAGCAAGATATTGAACAATGCAGGAAGCATCAAAAGAAGTTGGAAGGTCCTAGTGACTGGTACACCATCCGATCTGCAGCCTATACAACTATGAGATCAGAAAAACTAGATGGTGCCTGGCTACCACTGTCATCTACTTGGAAGGGGATCTATGTAGGAGATCCTTGATAGAGAGGGAGAACAATGTGGAACAAAACTCAAAATCATTTGGAGAAATAAAAAAGGGGG